ACGATTTGGTGGACCATTTTGGATCCAAGTTGTTAGACCGTAATGTGAATAATTTTGCCAACGACGCGGCGTCTCCTGGATAGCCGAGAATTCATGGATTCGAGCCGCGGAAGCTTACGTACACAGTCCGTCAGTTAGTAAGTCCGTCAGTTAGTTAGTCCGTCAGTCTGCATTTTAATTTTAAATTGTGAATTTTAAAAAACGGTCGAACGCTATTTCCTCCGAAATTGCTCCAACTTTTTCCTTTGATTTTATCGAACAGATAGTGTTAATTATACTGCTTAATACGACAAAGTTCATTTTGGGTTATTTTTTTAATTGTACAAAGATTTTTTTTAGATCTTTACGCCTTTAATATTCACATTTCTAGCGATTTGTAAACATTCTTTCATTTGAGACGAAGTGCTTAAAGTAACTTCATATAAAGTTTTTCGAAAACTGAATAGTTTTCTGTGAAACGAATTTTGCATTAACAGTAATGCTTAGACCCCATTTTCTTAAAAACTGCGTCAAACATTTCAATGAAAATTGTCATTTAGGACGTGGTTTTACTGTTGTTTCATATCCTTAAAATAATATTTGTTCTAACATGAAACTTAAAAATTAAGAAACTTTTTTTCTACTACTTTGGATGGCGATAGAAGGCCGCTGTCAAGATTATGTGGAAAATCCGAATAGGTAAGACTAGACCAAAGGAAAGAAAACTAATACGTTAAACCATGCGTAGGATTATTTCCAAATTGAATAAACTCTTGTCCATTTGGCCAGAAACGAAACTCTACGATTTTGAAAATCATTAGTTTGGGGGGGGGTACTTGACATGAATTCTCCTGGACATTTTCAAAATTTTCTCAAAAATGGTTTCAAATTTTTTCTGAATATTTCTTGTAAGAATAGACTAAAATACTCTTCTAAAGGCAGCATACGTCCTATTTTCACTGATAACTCTGAATTTTCGAAACTTGCAAAAGACAATATTTTTCGGCGTCTTCTTACAGCCATAATATTTAAGATAAAAATTTTGTCTTCAAATGAAATTTGTTCTCCTAGTAGGTTCTTTCTTTAAGATCATTTACTTTTTCTTCGAAAATTGTAGTTTTCGCGCAATATTGCAAGCAATATGTACAATTTTAAAAAATTACAAAAACAAGATTTTCTCAAAAACGGCTCCAATTTTTTTTCTTTAAACTGTTGGTAGGGATAGCGCTAAATGGACCATATAGTTGACAAACGCCATATTAATATATTCTTTTATTTTTTCAAAAATTACAAAAATGTAATTTTTTACTTGTCTCTCATGTCTTAGATATTTATATTAGCTATAATTTGTTCACATTTTTGTATTTATGAGTACATGTGTTTTAAATAATGTCACAAAATTTTTCGGAAACCATTTTCTGTGAAAACTAGCTCAAAATTCCGCATTGTCAGAAACGCTCAAAGGCTTTACTTTATATGGTAAATATAAAGACTCCAAATGTTTTCTTCAAACTTTTCGAAAGGATAGTGCTAAATGAACTCTTTGATAGGACGTTAAGTGCATTTCGGTTTGTTTTTTCAAAAATTACACAAATGCAATTTTTTGAAAGATCTTCCACGCTTGTAATATTTACAATTCCAGCAATTTGTAAACACTATTGTGTTTGTGAGTGCTTCAAATGAAGGTTTTCGAAAACAAAACAAAAATTAAGAAAAAATGCTTCAAATTTCAAATTTACTGGAACACCATTTTCAAAGAAAATCGCCATTTAGGATGACGGTTTTACTTTTTTTAATAGCATTAATATAATATTTCCGTTCTATTAGGAAATCGAAAAATTAAGAACATTTTTGTGGTCCTGTGGCAAGAGTGTCGAATAGCTAGCCGTAACCAAAGGAATAGAAAACTAATTCGGCAAAGTCAGTGCCATTCGGAAACATTAGTTAATGAAATAATAATGGAATGCTGCTTGAAGTAGCTCTCTTTGACTCCATGCATTCAAATTTTTTTCTCAATTATTTATTTAATGGTTGGTATATAAAGTGAATAGTTTTCTTATTAGCAAACCACTTTTCTCTGGCCTCTTCATAGAACGATGCAGCCAGTGAAAACAGGCACTTCTGAACATCGTTTGTGTGTGAGAGAGTTAATGTTTTTGCTGCCAAACAAAAAGAAAAATACCAAAACACGCAAACATGCACGGAAAAAGGTATGCATTTTTAAAATGCGTTTGCCAAGAAAGATATAATTACTACGTATTGAAACACAAAGAAAGCTTAAAAAACATTTACTAGGAAATTGTCTCTATTCAATCTTAGAACTGTATGTAGGAAAAATAATTAGTTTACAACAAATATCAACGCAAATTCGACAACTAAAACAAAGTTTCGTACAGCTACAAATGCCCCCAGCGAAGAGAATGGATTCTCAGAATATCTAACTACCTCTACGCATATCTCAAATTACATTCACAGACTAACAACGCCTCAAAGTGTGATAAATTGGGATTTGCCATTTCGATTTGTTTTTCAATTTCCGAAAAAATAGAGGGCGCCGATAATGGAACTAACAATACTTTCCTTGCTACGTACGTGAAAATAGAAACAATTTGAAGCAGTTTCTGAGAAAACAAATATTTAAAATTTAAAAATTGCGTTAGTTTGACGCAAAATTACGCAATAAATACTCTTTTTTTTAAATTGAAGGTGACCTTATTTCAACAACAAAAGAAACAACCTTTACTACACAAAGCTCTATGCCGAAACACAATGAAATCACTTACAAACAGCAAAATTATACAGGCAATGACATTGGGATGAAGTTTGATAATTGTGGTGTAATAAATATACAGAAAGGATCTGTACAAAACGGTTTCTGTGACATTAAACAGATACCACCTGCAAAAACATATTGCTATTTGGGAAAATATCAGAATCATGGACCATTGAACCATAATCATATCAAGAAGGAACTCAAAATAAAATGACAAAAGGAACCGACATAGCTGTTACACACTCATTAGGGGGTAATCTGATTTCAGCCATCAACATCTTGACTGTGCCAGTTGGAATTTACTCCTTTTGTTTTGTTAAGTGAACTAGAAGAGCAGGACATCAATGATAAGACTGTTACATACACTTCACTGTCATCATCCAAACTCCTCAGTAAAATAATATATCTACCCCAAACGACCAGAGGCAGAATTTCAGTTAGAGTAAAAAATATTCTCTAATACCACAGGAAAAATGCAACAATTCTTAAACTCCACTGACATGTTAATGAAATTAACTGTTAACAAAGACTGTGGCTTCACTCCATTGAACCTCCATGTGCAAATTATGTATTAAATATCTCTATCACTTGAGCTATAAAGAATGGATACCACAAGAAATTCATGAAAGATACCTAAAACTCTTGCTTTACAGAAACATACATAGATGACACTTAGTGGAGTAACTTTTAGAGAAACAAATATAGCCTGAGATCAAGAGTTTTACAATGGCAATTCAAGACAAACTAATCAAAAGCTTTTTTGAAACAAGATGTAGTGGATAAATGTACTAAATGTGGTGCTGTACGAGATACTACAGAACACATCACAGCTGCATGCTCTACCTTCTCAGACAGTTTAACATTTTTTAACATGGGAAAATATAATCAAGTGGCAAAAATATTGCACAGGACAATCTCAATAGGGCATAATTTATTGAATGAATTAGCACCACCATATTATAAGTACACTCCTGCTCCAGTCATGGAATCAAGTTCCAGCCTTTTGTACTGACACAGACCATCACCAACTTATCATACAGTCAATCACAATAAACCAGATATTATTCTTACAGGCAACAAGAATATAGAAGTAATAACAGTTATAGCAGTACCATTATCCCTCTTCACACAAATAGAAAAAAAATGAAAACATGAAAATGTATCTTATGAACCGAGACATATTTAAAAGTTCAATGCTACAAAAACATTTCCATCCACAGGTGATATTGGTGGAAGGCCTTTACAACACTTCCTTAAAAATCTTAACAGAACTTCATGAGCCCAAGAACATTCTGAATATGAGACAGTATGCAGTCGTCCAGAAGAAAGCCAAAATTGTAAGAATATTTATTTATATCCAAGTTCAGATGTAAGATGAATTTCATTTTCATGCAAATGAACCTATTCCCAATATAAATTTGGAAATGATGACCATTGCTTACCAGCAAAAATAACTGAGAAAAAATTGATATAATATGGTAATAATAAAATAACAATTTTAATAAAATTAAAATTAATAAATCACAAAAACATGCATACAAATTGGAATGAACTTGCACTGAGAATCTTTAGAACCATGTACCTCTTTAAGAACCACATGTAATTTTATTTTATAAATATTTAAAATAACACTAGCCGTACTAAAGTGGACTACAAGATATATTTTGCTGAAATTAGTGTGGTCTGGTCGCACATTTTTTCTATTTATTGACATAATCAGGATTGATTTCAATGGAAACATCATCATCTAACAAGCCAAAACACATTTCGTTTAACTGAGATACGTTCTCTTTCTACACCCATTTTATTTCATTACAAATGTTGATTAACAATATTATAATTTTGTGAACAATTAATTTCCCTTGAAAATATATTACATTATTGAGAATAATATGCTTTAATAAAGCAAACGCCTTTTTTTACAGTTAAGTAACCAATAAGTTTACAGTTCAGTACACCTTAGACGTCGAATCAAAAATTAAAAGTACAATCGCAAATCACATTTTACACGTGTCAATGAAAACAGAAATTCTAAAACTGAAAATAATTAGACGTTAATAGATGTAGAATTTATTACAAGTTTGTACACATCACTGGCTGCCCTCAGTTTCCTTTTCTGAACTATCACGTGTTTACTTTAGGTAAGTGAAAGTTTTGTTCCAATGTGGAACTTCTAAATCATTCTTGCGTGGTTTCCGTCATAACATACTGACACCCGGAGATATAGGAACAGTTTTCTTCCCAGGTTGACACATTCTACATATCAATAGCGTGTTTATAATACCACCCAGATCGGTGATGTGTTATTATAACTTACCCCATCTGAAGACGTACACGAATATAAACGATGTTAATTAGCGGAATCGTCACTCGGTCCCAGCTGTCATGATCAATCCAGTTTACCCCAAGGCGCGCTAGCAATTCATTTGTGCCAGTAATGCCAACTGTTCCATATAATTGTGCTATGCAATAATACTGCAATGACTCCATGTTGAAACCCGTTTCAAACTGCAGTGCATTTACAAACCTGTCATTACGGTAATAGAATTAAAACTTGACTTTGGTGCCCCGGTTGTTTGAAGTGTGTAAGTAATCTCTATTCATATGATTACCAGGATGAGTAATCAGAAAGAAGAAGAACCTTCTCACGATTCTATATTCAAGGAACACAGTTTGTTTTTGGTAAGTTGAAGTAAGTTTCATATCAGCATTTTATATCAACCTTTGTTTGTTTCGACAATAGTCTGGTTACCATAGATTTAGAACATCGGACCTGATTCCAAAATTGCCGAATTGCAAATTATGATTTTTACATTTACCAAAAATCTTGTATAGGTATTTTCAAATGCAGCAATGTTTTCTTTTCTTCTGTTAATTTATCACTGTTACAAATGATTCCATGAACGTTACAGAATGGGACATGCAAGTTACTGACGAAGATAAGGAACAATCTTAATTTTCTCCTCAGTCAGTTTGGATACCCTCCTCCGCAACTCTCTCCAAATCCCGATATATCTCGTCTTCAACAACAGACTAAAACTCTGAGAAGAAATATAGAAATTTTCATAAACGTTCAAAATGGCGCTCGGCAAGGTAAATTATGCTTCCTGCAATTCTTTCATAAGGTTGTGATAAGAAGTTCACGTATGTATTTACTAGATTGCATTAGGCTTGTGTCACACTCAACAAAGTAAACTGAATGAATTTGAGCGAAGTTAACGAACCAATTGTTTACTGCCCACGCAGATGGGAACATTTAAAACTGCCCGTATAGTACAACGGAAAATCCGTGAGCTAACAATTAAACGTAGTTTTCAGAAAGTCACGCCTTAAAGGTTTAAATACCCGACCTTCGATTGAACAGTAAGATCTAGATTTCGTTTTGGTTCTGGGTACCTGAGCCGTAAAGTGTTTTTTTTTCCTTTGTCTCCTGTCATAAAGGAATTAAGTGGAAGTTGATCTTCGCCTCCTCGCCAAGTAACACCCTTCGCTTTGGCGTTCGTTTTATTTTTTTTATTTTCCTTCAAACAGATGGTTAGACCCTATCTACATTTTCATTATTCACTGTCAGCGAGCATTCTACTGGTTTTACTTCATTTTTATTTGATTGGTAATTCCGGACGAGTCTACGGCTATGGTTCGTAAGTCCCGTAAGTCTGGTGCATGTTCGTTTCGCGGGAGATGGCGGTGATCTTTTCCCGCTGGATGGCGAGATATAGCACTCGACGCACATTGGGACAAAAGTCCAAAACAGGAATTTCTACCTACCTACTTGTGTCATATACCATTTAAAATAGAACAAAATTCTGCTTTGACTGTCTTTAATAAAACGTAAGTTTATTGACTGCGTTGTGACATCGTTTCAAAGTTACATACAATTCTCATGGGCGTGATCTCAAAGGCTGTTTGCAAGTGCTATCACACAACTTCGTTCATTGATCATATAATAACATTTGGGAAATTCTATGCTATTCTTGTATGTGTGATCTGTATGGTGAGTAATTGCCATTTCATTTGTTTACTTTGGTCTTACTTAATATGAATAAGCTTTATTAAACCATTTTTGGAGGGAAAATTGGAATATGTAGTACTCAGCAGCAAATATTTTTACTAATGGACTAGACTTTTTTTCTCAAAATATTAATGATTACATGAACATAGATTTAAAACATACATTTACATATTTCTCTAAGCCATGAGAACACATGGTTCCTTGTGTTTTTTTACTGTAGACCCAGTGTTGGTCTGGATTTCCAGCCATGTCATGTGACATTGAATGTCTTCGTACGAAGTATCAGAACCTTCAAACAGAATGGGATAGTCAACAAGAACATCTGGGACGACTACAAAATGATATGTACAAAATGCGCAACCAACTCCAGCACCAGAGCCAATTTTGTGCCTCCTTGGGTGCAGTATTAGGTAACCTGATATGGAAGGCTTCACGCATACCACAAGTGGTGGACATGTTACTTTCAGGAGTAAGGAACTACGAATTACTATTATTTTTTATATGAAACAAGATATATTTTTAACAGCTTTATATACAAGTATACAATGACATGAATGCTTTCACTACATATAGTAAGCAGAATGTAAATAACTGTAAGAACACAAAAATTTGAACTTCAATTACTAAGGTCATTGTTTTTTATTAGAAATTAAAATAACATCTTTCCAAATCATTTTTAAAAGGCAAACAGTACATCATCAAAACAGTATTACATGTAACAATGAACAACAAGGATACTGCAGACTGCCAACATTTTTTGTCATTTGTTTTATGCACCAAATGTCTAATATTATGAAATATTTTTAAAATACCACTCGCTTCAAAATAATAATAATAATAATAATTTATTGAGCTTAATAACAAATTCCTGAAATCTTTTTTTGTTCAGATCAATTTAATACTCCTTTCTCTGTGAACTGTACATGAATCATTGCAGTCTCCTTTCAGATTCCACTGTCATAAAATCAGTACATTTACCTTCAGAATAATACCTCTAGAACACAGATCTGTTTTTTTAGGTCCCATTTCATGAAAATTTTACTGAATAATTTATTTAACAATTAAGAAAAATGCTTAATAGTGTGAGAGTTACATGCTACATTGTTGCGCAGAACAAGATGGGTGATTTCCTGAACATTGTTAATGGGACCCTCGTCTCTTTCATTGAGACCTATGATTCCCACATGCCAGGCCAGTGTGCTGATGAAAGTCAATTCATTATGTCCATGTGTGGCATAATCACAAATATTGCTGCATCTCCAGCAGGCCGCCAGTTTCTGGTCACAAATCCCACAGGCAAGGAGTTGCTTGATATGTTTGTGCGAGTGTTGCCTCGCATTCCTTGTCCTTCAGGAAACTGTCTAAAAAGGTAGGCAAAATTACTTTAAAATAGTAGCATATCATAATTTGTATGACAGTTTGAAAACAATGTAATAGGTAATTAAGAATTTTATTGCCTCACTTCAATAGATAAATATGTCATACATGTACAATTATGCCTTGTCTTGAGGAATAGGTAACCTAACTAAAAACATTCATTTTAAACAGAAAAGTATTTTGATTTAATGAATCTACTGCAAAATAATAGATTTGTTTTTTGTTATTCAAAGATTGCAAAGAGGTCATCCATAAATACATTATGCAAACTTGGAGTATTTTGAAGACCGCCTCTCCCCCCTGTAATACACACATAACATACGCTTAAACCCCACCTCCTCTAAATATGTAATGCTTTCAACAAGACCCTTACCCCACTTACAAGAAGTAAAAATATATTATAACACACTAAAAACAATTTGTATTAATTTTATTTCCATTATATATTAGAATTTATGATAATTAGTCTGAATTAGTTGACAATGCTGACTGCATGTAACTATAATATTTGTGACAATTTTTGAATGAAAGAAGGGCCTATAGAATATTTCTGACAAGCTATCCACATGCCATGAACTCGCTGTCATGTATGATGTATGGGCAAGAGTTGATCTGCCTCACTCTCACTGTCGCACACACTTTTTCCCTCTCTCTGCCTGTCTCGCGCGCACGTTCATTTCTCCTGGGCATGTGGCCGGGATTATAATAATTTTTGTTCTCCGGAGTCATGTAGTAGGGTTACAACAAATTTAACAGCACATAAACCTTCTCAGTGTTGATGTGCCCACTTTCATGGAGATTGGTCACTCAGTGTCAGAGTTTACCTCTTTTATATATACCAACATCCATTTATACATATACTGCTTATAATAAACAACTTTTATTTCTTGTAACCATTTGTTCATAATAATTTTTTAATTAATTTATATTTTTAAAACTTAACTAGTTGGCATTTAAAATTTTTAATATAAGACAAAAGAATTATTTTAGCAAATGTTGAAAAATGTTAAAAAATATCAGTGTTATGTTATTCAAAACTAACCACCCTATGCTATGTATTCTAAAATTATGCTGCCTCAAACCTCCTACCCCTCTTTTTAGCATTCCAAAATTTATTGACAACCCCAATCATCTTTACCAATAACACATCAAGAGCTTTGAATTGAGAATCTTAAACAAATGGAAAAAGAATATTCATTATTTTGGTTAACTCAAAATCCAACATGTGCATAATGTGTAGTCAATACCATTTTTCTTAATATTTTTTAAATTTTTTTTTCTATAGAATGATCAAATGTAATATCCATACAAATTATATTCAAATTGGTGGTTTTATATTGTCACACCAATTTTATATTGTGTAATTGATTCCTTATTTGATGAACCAATTTGAATAAATATAAGCATATATACTCAGGACACATAAGAAGAGAAAAAGCAATGAAAGAAAAGGCATAATACAGGGGTCTCTTTACATTCATAAAAGCTTATAATAAGTTGATCTTTGTTAGAAAACAAACAAAACTTATGACGCAACTCAAATAATAATACAAATACATAATTACACCTTCATATTTAATTTAAGGTGTGTTACCACACTTAATTTTAAGTGTTTGTGGCAATTTGACTTCTGCAAATAAATTTTAGAACTTATTGTAAGGACTAATGGATCCAAATTCTTACATTCCCTTACAGTAAATAACAAGTAAGAGTGTAAATTTATCATACTATTTAAATGAAGTGAACTGCTTTCACAAAATGTTCTCTATATAAGTTGTTTTTAAACTCCATTATTTCAAAGTGCATCAATCAACCATACTAACCACCCACAGTCAGTAACCGTTTAACTGACAGTTTTATTTCCAGTATATTATTTGCATTTGATTAATGCACTGTGAAATAATGGAGTTTAAAAACAACTTGTATAGAGACCATTTTGTGAAAGTAGTTTACTTCATTTATATAGTATTTCTGGAAACATTTTCGATTAATTATTAATAAATTACAAAGCAGTAAAATAATTTGACTAATTTTCTTCGAAAAGATTAATGTTATTATATGAATTTGGAAAACTCCTTCCTCACTTTTCATGCACAGTGTTTGTTTCATGGGCACTCAGTTTTTCAGCCAATGACTTAAATTTATCCTCCAGCTTAGGAAAAAAGTTATCCAGTCATTCTCCTAAATAAGTTTTAAAATGGTTGCAAGACAGCACAAAACATATTTACAACTTACAGAGGTAGCATTACATTGACATTTGCTGAAAATGTCACAATACTTAGTGAAGTTTCGCAAAATTGCTGCAGTATGAGAGCGTAGGCTTCCGCGGCCGGAGTCAGCATTTATTTGACTGCCCGGGTGACGCCGCGTCCATGGCGAAGGTGCCGACGTTTCGGTCGCCATTCTGCGACCTTCCTCGGCATTACGCCCTGAGGAAGGTCGCAGAACGGCGACTGAAAGTCAACACCTTCGCCATGGACGCGGCGTCACCCGGACAACCAAGTAAATATTGCTGCAGTATGCCCCTAAAACTACTTCAAAAATAATTTGAAACCAACATTTTGAATAGAAATTTCGCAATTTTTTTTCTATATGACAGGCTATTTGTCTGTGATGTTCTGCAATAAGTTGAAACAAATCCTGAACAAAGTTCACTCTCACACACTAACTGAATTTTGCATACTACTTGCTTCGCTTACTACGTATAGACCTATAGAGCAGACATTCTCACACTTTCCAAAGCATGGCCCCTGCTTCCATGAGCCATATGTCTGTGCTCTTTATAATGTTTTATCGCTATACATAGTTTTGTTATATATCTGTTTGTGTTTTTCATAAAAAGTAAGAACTAGACAATACAAATATTAAAACAAATCTATTAAATTAATTTTATTTTTACAGTTAGAACACCTTGAAAAATCAACATTAAAATGAAATAAAACTCTTTAGAAAAAAAATATATTATTAGCGTATGCGAATCAATATTTAAAAATAGAATTATCTTAATTTTAATTTAAAGTTTTCTTACTGCTTTACCAATCAATACCAAATTCTCTCTCTCTCCCCCTCCCCCCCCCTCTCTCACTCTCTCGTTTTGTGAAAAAAGCTTCAAATTTCGAATTTGCAATAGCGCTTAAGCGCCATTTGCTTAAAAACGAGTCCAAATTTTTCAAAGGAAATTGCCATTTACAACGAGGTTTTACTGTTATTTAATAATCTCAAAATAGTTTTTCTGTTCTACTATTATGAAATCAAAAAATTAAGAAAATGTTGGGAAAATGTAATTTGGGTGGTGATAGATGGCAGCTGGAATGAATATCCTTTAACCACAAGTAAAATGTAAACATCCTAATCCCATTTATAATGCTCCAGTTGTTCAAACTTGGGATACAATCTTGTGAGAGGGAGAGAAATGTCTCACCCCCTTGGTGATGACATCCATGAAAAGGTCTGGATTACCAAAGTTAAGCAGACAGGTCAGAAGGATTTGTAATCCAGACAGGCCAGGATCAAAGATCAGCATCTGCCATACAATGAATTTTACCTTTCCCAAGATTCTAAAATTGTGATCTAGGACTTTGTACTGAAGTAATGGAATGCTTTCCTGAAATAGACAATCTGAAGCACTCAAAACCTTCAACTTGATCTGATATCCTAAACCCACAATTTTTGGGGTACTTGTTCATTCCAAATTATTTCAATGTGCTGGTATTGAATGTTGCAGACTGATACTAATGGCATTGTACAACATAAGCATAAACCAGTATGGTTTGAATTACCTTCAAGAGAAGAAAGATATTCTGCCCGCTATAACCTCAAACCTCCACTGCGAATGTGCCAATGATCTAAGAATCATGTCACTGAGGTTGCTTCAGTCTATTACATATGAAATTTCTACCCTTAAATTATTGGAAGAAATTGAAGAAACGGTAAGTAATTTAAAAAAGATGTCTTTTTAAAGTTTATTAACAATTTGTTTAATTATTTCTTGACTAGTTTTAGTAGAAAATGAACTTTGAGTATGTTACTAAAATGTGCTTCACTGCCAGTTAATAAAATCAACTGGAATTATCTGCATATTATCTCAAGGAGTAATATTTCATCATAATGGACTGAGTATACTCATTTCTTTATCATTCCACTTTCGTGAACATTTGTGATCCTGCATTAAGGTCCAATAATCATTGATTTTTTTTTTCATTGAAATCTGCCAATGAAAATAAAGCTAATTTTTCCAAAAATATTTCTCTCAATCAACTCCTGGAAATAAATATTTTTTAATAAACCGTGTGTGCACATATTTATTTTCTAGCCAGCTGAAGTAACCTGTGTTGATCTGGTATTTATTACTCATATTCATCTACTAGACCTGAAAAGGATTAAATTATTGTGTCTGGTATGTTCCCACTCTACCTGTTCCACAATGTTCCTGCCAATCTCCCCAGGCATGCTCCACCTTATCCCTTCCTTGGCCTGCCAATCTGTGGCCCTTTCCACCTGACCAGCTCCACCCTCTCCCTCCTAACTCTACCCAGTTTCACCCTGACTCGCCTGGCCTGGCCTGCCATAGTTAACTCAATCATCGTTAAGTCTTCTACGGCCAGAGAAATAGAATGTGAACCTTGATACTTAGTTTGCCGGGACTGGGGAACAAGGTATCCGTTTATTACTACCATAGTAATGTGGGTGGTAGCAGCCTTGAGGAGGACCAAGACAAGATGGTTGGCACCACAGCCTTCCACGCAGCATCACCCGGACAACCAAGATAATTTGCACGATCATCGTTGCTACCAGCTACATTGCTATGGCATCAATAAGCAGATATATTGTTCCCTTTCTTCCAGCAAACTTTCAGTATCAAGGTTAACATTCATTTACTGAGCCTAACTGTGCTATTGGAATAAATTAACATGTAATAAGGAATTTTAAAGACTTTCAGAAACATAAAATTCACATTCATGAATTTACTCACTATTGTATATATGTATCTACCAATAGAACCATTAACGTTTGAATCGTAAGTCAAGTACAGCAAGTAATATTGGAAGTAAATACACCAGCTTAGGTGGCTCAGGGCATCAACTGATGTCGCTGGGAGGTCCTAGAGTTCGAGACCCCACGGAGACAGGATTTTCAACACTTGCTAGATAGCCAAGTTGAAGTCCTGTTCAGAGGAAAATAGCGACCGAAAACAGATCTGGTAGTTTTCGGTGGTTTCTCCAATCAACATACAGTGAATGCTGCAGCAATGCCCTAACAAACAGGCTAAGGACCGCACACGATCGATCTTTCTTTCCTCTCCCTTGTCCTATCGTCTCCCTTACTTCTACGAGGATCGTTCCCAAAATATATTGCCTTCCATTTATTTGTATGACAACTACAGGAAATAAAAAAATATTTTAATACGTTGTGTTAGAACATTTTTTTTAACATAACACTGTATATAAAGAAATAGTCCCCCTCTTTTTCTATGCGTTTTCTCCGCCGATTAACAAGAGTGCATATAACGCTCGTAAAAATCTTTACAAATCGAGGTGACCCAAACGGGGAATTCTTATGGCGCTATTCCATGATTGTCGTTTTGTTTCTGTATCTGTCAATATCTCGTCGTCATCTTTGTATTGGCTCATTTACAGTTCGTGTAAAAATTGGACACTTTATGAATGTCTTCGTTTTTGGTTTGTGGGAACTTGGCAGAGGGATTTAACAAAAATAAAAGTTAAGTCTGGACACAAAGCCAAATACTACCTTAATATTGACACTGCGCCGAAATGCGGCGCAGAAAGTTTTTGGACACTTAGGGCCGAATTCATAGTCGACACTTATGTAATACGTGCTTTCTCGAAACAAATGTTCACTTATAGGCGCTCGTATTTCATAGACGTTCCTTACAACCGCGGAATGAGTGTTCCCTTAAGCCGAAGGGAAATGTGATAACATGGCATTGGCAGCTGTTTCGAAGTTTTTGGCAACCAAGTTTACATACGCACTTCATCGAGTAGACGTCACGCGCAGCGACCACTTGTCTCTCTCATTCGTTGTGTTTTTAATACTTAACATCAGTTTCAATTGATTCCACAACGTTTACTTATGCTCTAGTATAACTAACGTAAATGGTATGAACATAGGCCTGCCAATATTGGTAATGGATTACATATCATTATATATCATGTAATAAAAATGTCAACCCCGTGTAGTACGAAAATGTAAAAATGTCAACCCCGTATTCCATTTTACAACAATTTAAATTACTTCACTTGTTATTCATATTGCAAATTCATAATTATTTATAATAGGTCTTATAAATCAGTAATGAATAAAAGTTAAAAATTTTGGAAACATACCTGAAAGGATAAAGTTGCATAAAATCTTAATGCAACGATAACTTTAATAAGGGGGAAATCAGCAGTCCTCTTTTAGTCATTGGGACTTCGTCGATCATCGGCACAAGTATATGTAGTACAGTAGTTTTATTGAAACGAAACCGCATTCGGAATTGTTCATCATTGTACATTTCCAATGGGTTGCTCATATCTTTAATATATCTCTTTGAAATTCGCAGGATGTGTTGCGTATAAAACTCAAAATAATATTCGAAGTCGTTTTCATAATGTTTCACCAATTGAACGTTTCAACTGGCTACACTTTACGAACACCAGCAAAACGAATTCAATAGTCTGTGAACGCCGCGAAGTATAACGTTAACTGGTTACAACTGACGATGCGAGGGACCCATAAGGGACACTTAAGGGAGCAGGCTGCCTCCCTTATAGGAATGAGTGCTCACTTAAGACTTCACTCTTAATACGATTCGTGTACTTACGGGAACATTCAGTGTAGGGGACAACTATGAATTCGGCCCTTGTAGTTCTAAAAAAACATTTGGTAAAAAGACACGTTAATATTTTGTGGGATTTCTCTTGGCATGAATAACGGCACCGAGTGTCTGTGACATGGAATTCACTAGATATTGAACAATTTGAGGAAAAATATTACTCCGCTCTGCTCGTAACGCTGTCAACGCTGCCTTGTTTGCAATTTTTCTATTTTTTTCTCCAGAAAAACTATAGGCGTTCTATAAGGTTTAGGTCCGGGGGGCTAAGGAGGAGAGTGCAGTTGTTTCGGTGTTATGTACAATAACCAAAGTTTCGTATTGAAAGCAGTGTGCTAAGGAACATTGTTCTGTTGAAAAATGTAGATTTGTCTTAGATTCATTGAAGCAGCACTGGCTTCCAAATTATTTCTTAAAATGTCAATGTCGTCATATTGGTCCATTATAACATCTTGGACGTGCAAATTCCCGACACCACTAGCACTCGCACACCCCCAATACGACGGCTAAACCACATCCATGGTTTAGGTACAATAAATTAATTTTTCCTCTTAATTTTCTGACGCCTTAAACTCGAGCCAGAGTTATTATTGAATGAGGAGACGATACGTCCATTCACTTTGTACAGTAACTGTGTATGTACACTAACCTTACAAATTTTCATTCGGTGCTGTTTGTGTTCCTGTGAACGTGATCACGGAACCCACCGTGCGCTCTATTTTTGGTAACTCAATTTCCTCAACAGTACCTCTCACGCGTTGCAGTGTATGTCAAGCACCGTATAAAGTTCCCTGTTCGCGTTGTGCCTATTCGCGCGGATGAACTGACAGACGCTGTGGATGTCAATCCGTGACATTTCCTTCGAAGTGAGAAATTGAATCACACATCTCTGTATCTCATTGGCTGCTAGAAATCATATAATAATAATAATAATAATAATAATAATAATAATAATAATAATAATGAGTCACATATACAATTACAATCTTGTGTGACGAATCAATATGATGTCTTGGATGAAGACAAGTTAAATTACTGATCAGAAGCGAAACCAGGGGCCATCTTAGCATTTGCTCAAGGGACCAGGGAAACTGAACAAAAAAAACCTGATCGAGATAGGGTTTTTAGCCTAGGAATTATACTACAATACTTTTTGTAGCAAATAATTAAACATTTCAAGATTTGTAGTTTCATGTTTAAAGTAAAAGTAAAATTTACTTGTTATTGTCATTTTATTGCTACTACTTATAATAATATTAAAATAGTACATGATATCAATTGTAGTGGCAACTACATATAATTTAACATTATTAGTATATTCTAATGTTTAAATCTCGAAATGGTGAGGAGACGGAGACAGGTTTTGGCCCGATTTTTTTCTTCTCTTTGTACACCTAGTCCTACTGTCTTAGCATTCTGTCTCCGTACTTCTGAGAAATAGTAACGAAATTAAACCAACAACGGGAAGGATCACTCGTTAGCTAACGTTAAAAAAAGTTGGAGGCATTACTTTCGGAACGACCCTCGTAGACACTACACTATCTTACATGTTGGGAGCTTAGAGCTTGTCTCGGGTTACCCTGCTGGTAGGAGATACCTGGTTGATGAAAACCTCGTAAGTCTAAGTTGGTACCATATCTGTCCATCAGCGAGGAAAGATCACCGCCATTTTCTGCGGTAAACGTGTACTACACTTGTGGAACTAATTACCTTGTCAGTTGACATGCCCGAATACATCAATCAATCAATAAGTATAAACAAACAAAACCCATGTATAACCTGGGGGGTGCTCATTGGAAACATGTTAATTTAATATCAGAATGAGATAATAGAACAACTCAAGTTTCCATTAGTGACAAATGAAGATGTTTAAAAGATTTACGTCAAATAAAGTAATCCACAATTGTAAGATTATGCTATATGGGAAGAACACTGCAAATGAAGTGTATTTTTGTTACTAGTTAAACAGTAGTTATATTTGATGCGAAACATCTTTCAAGGGTCCTTATTACAGCAATGTAATAAGGACAACCAGTAAGTTCTTTAATTTGCATATGCAGAACATTGGCAGGGAATAACAAACCTACAAAACAAGACGTGTGTATTCTAGTAATGTAGATTAACCCTGTTGAAATGCAGTCTCGCAAGATGTATTAATTAAAGCTTTGAATTGAAACAATTCCACTGTACATTCTATTAGTAATAAATAGTAAGCTGGCATTCTGGATTTTTGAGAACAAGAGTTGGAAGATAAACTTGGTTCCCACTCAATTTATTGAGGTATTTTTTGAAGAATAATATTTAAAACTGAGTATTATTTTGACATATTACAAAAAGGAATGCTTTTCTTTTCAAAAAATCTTTGTAAGAAAACTTCAGTGATGACTACAGTCCCAAATCACTTTTCAGTTAAAAATCTTAACAAACTGTTCTTATGGAAATTCAGTTGCTGCAAGGTTTTCTTCAAAACAACTAGCAATTCAATCTTAAGTACTTTTGTTTCAGATTCCTTTTGAAATAATTGATGAGATGATTGCATCGGATGATGCAGAAGCAAAACCTGTGGCACAGGAAATCCTAGACAACATGGAAAGAGCACGACAGAAATTTGGAGTTAGCAGTGGCGGAAGACATCAAAAATCTGTTCCGTACAATAGATGCTTCTTTGTTCAAGCAGGTGAATCGATACAAGACAGTCTTCAGAAAGGAAAGCTTCCTATTCATAGGAATTATGGAGTTTCAGCCTCTAAATGATTATTCTTCTAAATAGAACGCAATGTATCTGAACAATTTTATACTTTTGTCTTTTAACTATCAGTTTCTGGAATTTGCACAAAGTTTAAGAATACTGTCAATAAAATTGTCTTTGTTCTTTAAAAAAATGTTCACATTATTTTGTAGTATAATTCATTTCCGTATTAATTTACACATTTTGTGGAAGAGTCGACTGTGTAACAAAAGTAGCAAAGAGCTTGTCAAATCTTCTTAAGGAAGACATATCTGCACGAAACAAATTACTGCCATGGACATACAAGAGAGGAGAATTTTGGATTTCTCCGTAACAAACGCATATCATCAGAATACCTGTGCAAATCAACATTTTTCTGTGACTGTATCAAGAGGAATCATAACTTGGATTCAGTTTGCTTCCACAAACTTAATTTGTTGGAGCATGTAATCTGCTCAAATAGTTGAATTAAAAATTACTTATAAATAAGTGAATACTTTGGAAAAGTGAAGGTAAACATTTAGAAACCAATTTGGTTAAAAAGTTAACCATGTTACTGGTCACATATGTATATCAAACTACATATTCTATATGAAAACGTATTATAAAAACATTAATAACAGTGATGATAATAAATTTGAAATAAATTTTATAGATATTTACAGAAATGCATTGGAGATTTTCTTTAAAAATAAACCCAAAAAATTAATTCTCCACTTAAAACCCCAATTTTTTTCTAATGAATTGGGATAATTCTGATTTTACATGACGCAATTTTGATAAATCAAAAATTACTTAGTAAAACACCACTCCCTAAAAAACGAAACATTTTTTTAATTTGTGAGAGTAAAATTTTAATTCTATAATACAAGTACAATATTATTAAATGGGATCTACCCTTTTTGAGTGAGTACCAAGTTTGCATTTGTACTGAACATAATTAAATGTTGCAAGAAATATTTTGAAGCATGACACTTGTCTCCTTCACGGGGGGTATATATATATTTTGAGGCAAAATGTCCTAGGAAATTTCGAGGAAGAAAAATTAAATTTTTCCCCATAGAAGACAATTTAAAATATACTATTTGAATTGAAACAGAGGCCGAGGAGAACCCATACAAATTGATGTTTCTTACCTAATTTTAAAGTCTGATCTCTGCTAATCCTCTCTATATAATAATATGCTAAGGATAGAGAACGATTTTGGACATTTTATAACAAATCAACGCAAAACCCTGTAAGTGGGCTACTGCTGGATGAGGATTTACACCCGAATACTGCATCCAACACAATAGAAGCACAAATGATGATTGAGTCATGATTTTTAGAGCAGAAGAAAGGATGTGAAGAGACGACGAAATTGGGAAAATGAAGGTGGGGCTCGCATTAGGCTACATTTTGTTGTCATGGTGTGATATGGATATCGTGTGATTATATTTGTGTTATGTTATTATTATATGTATCTAGGCATTAATGGTTGTTGATCATTAAGTTGAATAAACCATGATTGAAAGGCTCATATTACAATGTAGCAACATAAGATTAATGATAAAACAAATTTAACACATTTTGGAACTTTCTATTACATTTTTGAAGATTTAATTCCTTTGTCTCCCAATACATAGTACGGGCAGTCAAAAAAGTGAAGAAATCCACAATCTATGAAAAATTATATTGAAAAAAAAATTTCATGTTAAAATTGAAGGGGCTGTTTGATGTTCTTTGTAATCTAATTTAAATATATATTTCTCCACATACAATGGTTCGTTTTCCAGTTATCAGTTCTACAATGTAACGCAGTTTAGGGGCCGGCTGTTAGAAGATGCTGAGACATGCAGCCCTATTGTCTCGGCACAAACCACGCCAGTTCGCATCCGGTGACTCATGGGAAAATACTGACGTCACTGCGTCCAAGCGCCGCTGCACCCTTATCTCGGAACTTGGATGATGATCGAGGCGACTCGGGCATCCGTCAACGATACCGCGATTGGGCGGGAGGAACCGCGTTCCCACAAATCGCGGGAAATAAACGGGAGAGGCAACTGAAAGACTGTACCTCTGCCATTCTGATCAGGGAGACAAGTAGGTGGGTCTTGCCGAAGTGGGGGGCGAGAGCGAGTTGCTTTGACTCGGGGGGGGACGCCAGCGGATGCATTGCCGCACTGGGGACGCTGTCTAAACGAGCGCAGTGGGCCACGACTGTAAGTGCCCGGCCGAAAGCCCAGAGTGACGACGGGCCGAGGCGCGATTAACGTACCGTGCCAATGATGCCCGGACCTGCGCTCTTTGCGCCACCACGCCGCATCGACGCCGTAGTCACCGGCAAGGACGCGCCGCCAACCGCACCACGCCGCCTGTTGCCCCGATCACCTTGCTAATGGGCAAGAGTGAGGCGAGACGTAGCCGGCCGACGACCGCCGCTCCCCTAACCGGGGTCGTGACCACTGGGAAGGACGCCGCCTACCGCCCGACAGCCTCGTTGAAGGGCAAAGGGGTGAGGCGAGGCGTAGCCTGCCGCCGACCGCACCTCGCAAACGCCGGGGCACGGGGCCGCCGCTCCCGCAGGAAAGGTCGTGACCGCCGGGGAGGGCACCGCCTGGCAGCCGATAATGAACTCTGACCCGTACGGCCATATGAAGCAAGATTAGATATAAGGTAGTTCTAACGATTAATTTTAACCCGAGGCTTCACCTCGTTCAAATAGGAACATTAAAATTTGTAGTGTTAGCATGAGAGAGAGCCCTATCACGCATGCCTCCCTTCAGAGAATCTGCGGACTGAGCAGCTGGCAACGCTGAATCGGACGAAATACAGGTAATCTAGGTGAGTCGGAACAGCCACACGAAGGGTGTGGTTATACAAAGGAGTAATTTTCATTTTTAAAGGATTTGTTTACAAAATGTGGAGTTATTGGGGTACAGTGTTATTCTGCACCTCAATGAACTGCTTTTGCCGATCAATTGCTTTGCAGTTACGCGCGCGCGCCCCCACACACTATCTCTCTCTCTCTCTCTCTCTCTCTCTCTCTCTATATATATATTATATAATATATATATATATATATATATATATATATATATATATAGTGGCGTTTGAAACAAGGTCAGGCGCGCCAAATAATTTACGTCAGAAACATCGCGATCTGTTATCTGCGGCCCGCGCGACGGCAGCGGACTTCCGACTTATGGCAAACACAGAGGGGTTCGCCATCCCTTAAAAAGCGGAGCAGCTGACCGCTCGGCACGAGACGCCGAGGAAAGTAGACGTGTGCGGTGAGCGAGGCCGATAAGGCGTAGACGACATCTCGTCGTGAGAAGAGTTAGTAAGAGAGCAGGAGCGAGTAGAAGTGAGTTAACAGATTTAGGAAGTTGTGTAGTATTCGACATTTGTGCAGCAGTTAATGGAACTGTGCGAAGTTCGAGAAAATTTAGAACGTTACGTAGTATTCGATATTGGTGCAGCAGTTACTTGAACTGGGTGTAGTTGTAAGAGATTTGGAGCGTAAAACAGTCAAGAGAAATTGGATCTTAATTATCACGAAGCGTCATAAAATTTTGATATAGCAACACAAGTATAAGAGGTGTTGAAGTACGCCGAAATTACGCCTCTAGTAACACGCGTCGGCGTGCTACGGGGCAAGTGTAGTGAAGACTGCAGCTGTCGAGGGCGTGAGGAGCCGGGAGCCAAGTAAGAAGCATAGGCGCCGATTCCGAGGGAAGAAATACGCAGGCAACGGTGGTTGGTGCGACGTCGAGGACAGCTGGACGGAAGTGGAACGTCGGTGCGGCTGAATCAGGGACAAGGTTAAGCGCGGAGAAACAAGGCTCGTAAGCCGCGACTGCGCGCGCTACCGCAGGAAATACATTTGGTAACGAGATTTGAGAGCAGGCTGGGTCACGATCGCTAGTGCAGGAGTAGAAAGACTAGTTCTAAATTTGCATAACATCGTATATTTTAGTACGAACTAGATCACGACAAATAACGGGAAAAAGAACCTTGTAAGCCAGTAATACAGTTCATTTGTGTGTAATTTTCAGGGGGAAAGAATTGTAAATAGCGGTGTCAAACTTTTTTTTCGTTTAGGTGTACTCGCGGCAATTAACTGTAAATAATTATAGAGTTCAATAAGTCATTTGATAATTTATTGCGATTATTTGAACAAAAAAGAATTATGTAGAAGTAGGAATAATTTACTGGCATTTGATTTGGAGATATTCAGTTCAAAGTTTTGTAAAATGTTCAAAGTGTTAAAAGGGTAATGTGATTCTGTATTATATTTGTGTGTGATTGGCTATTTGTTCTTTGTATTTGTTGTGCCTGAAATCTGTGGTCATATTCTGGAGAGAACATACGCACTGTTCTACCTGATTCTGTGTCTTGGCGCAAATCTCTCTCATACACCAAAGATCCTGCCCCACAGAGATTTCAAAGTTCTAACTGAGCATCGACTTGGGACCTTGGGAAATTTTATCAGACCGGTAATCATAAATACATTTTCGAACAATCAGGAACAAGTTTACATTAGGTTTTGGAAAACTAATTTGAGAAAAAATTACAACTTTAACGCGAGACGAATGGGAAGAAAATCCTTAAGACGAACATTTTAATTAACTGACTAGAAAAGGATATGTAAACATATGGGAATTACGAAAAAATACGTAAGTAATTTACGTATTCAGTTCAATTTGGCGTTAGACAAAACAAGAGAGAAAATGCAAATTTTGGGAAAATATGCAAGGGACAAATAATAGAAAATCTTATCTCATCTTTCTTTCACTCCCATATTTGTCTAATTTGCTAGTTTTATCAAAAATGTCAAGCATGTTAAATTAAAGAAAAAATAAATGGAGTTTGATCATCCAAAGTTACATTAAGTTGACTATCAGGAGCTCTATAAAACAAACACAAACTTATATAAAATGAATCAGGAGAAAGACTACTTAAGGTTGACTATTCATGTTTTTTTTAATGCATATACATGGTGCGCCAGAGAAACTTACTTATTTGAAAAAATTCCCGCGCGGTGAGTTGGCGTGCTTAGAGGTTGGCGCAGAGAGGGCGTTCTGGAGGGGAAGTCACTAATTTTTTCTTCCTTCAGTCAGTTGCCATCATGCTGGGGACTAGAGAGCACCGGGCTTCGCAGTCGAGAGCTTCTTTTCTAACGGTCGCTCACATGTTGCTACGCAACGTGCCTTCCCGCTCGCTTGGGAAATTCCTCCTCACAGACTCGTTTCCTGCCGTGATATTCGATTCTTCGTGGGTTAACTCATTTCGGAGTGTGGAAGGTCGCAAGCCAGAAATGGACTTCAACGGACCATCAGAACCCGGAAAAATATTCGAAAGAGTGAGGCAAGTCAGTTGTGCGTTTCTCCCGACGTTCGGCTCGCAATACACGCAGCTGCTATGGGATATCTGACCTACATGTTTTGCGAATTCTGCATGAAACCTCAATTTCATCCTACAAAATGGTTGTGCTGAAGAATTACTGAACGCGATTTTGTTGCCCGTCCAAAATGCATGTGAAATGTGATTGACCCTGCCTGAAACGCGTCGTTTTTTTTCAGTGCGAGGCTCACTTCACATTTCCGGCTGCGTCAAACACGCAAAACATGCGTATTGGTGTGTGGGTGTAAAATCCGCACAGTGAAGCTTCCCACCAGC